CCAAATAGTACCCCCAACAATTTTATACCAAATGAAAGCCCGCAAAAGTTACGTCTAGTGGTATAGTCAGAACAAATATAGTTTGTAATATTATAACGATTCTAGGCTCAATACATCATTTTCACTTATGTATCCCAGTCTCATATCAATTGAAATGATACAAGTTATCTTTCTTCACTTTCGAATTACGTATTAATAGATCGTAGTTTTCATGGCTCCAAGTTTTTATTAAATGTACGATATCGTAGACCAATATGTCACGTATTTTGCCAAATTTTCGTTTTCTAATGTTATATTTGAGTATCACAAAGCACGTGAGCGAGTTGAGTAATGTTTAGTGTGAATTATCAAAAGCCTTACTATTGATGACTGATAACGAGAAGAAGGAACAGAAAAAAAGAAAGTTATGTGCACATTTATGCACGAACAGATAAGAAGAGAATACAGAAAAGAAAATGGTCGAGTGTCGAAATATTTTCAACTTTTTTCATTGATTTTCTTTCTGAGTATCTGTTGTCCGCGCAAGTAATTTTTATTCACGTTAGACGTTGAACAATTTGCTGATTAGTTAATAAAAAATTCTATGGTACATTAATTGAAAAACCAAAATGGCTAATCTGCTTCATGATTCGGAAGAGCAACGATTCGTTGACAGAATTCGATATGTCACATATCGTGAAATACGTGACGAACTGATTGCAAGAACAGGAGACTCAATTATTACTCGCCCTTGGATTTCCGAGAAGCTACGTCGCAGTGAAGATTGGGTACGACGAAATTGGAATAAATCTATCGAAGAATGTTATACACAATTTGGCAGTGGTCGACCCCGGGTGCTTAATCAGTAGAGCAGAAACATTATCTCTTCTGCAAGTGGTGTCAACAGCAGTAGCTGTCGAAAAGTTGCACGAGAGATTTTAGAGAAAACAAAACAGCGGGTGAGTCACATGACTATTTACAATGAACGCCATCGGCAAGGATTAAAAGCTTTCCATGTGATTGCCAAGCCACTGAAGACAAATACACATATCGAAGATCGCAAGTGGCTAGCAAATTTTCTTACTGATTGGACTGAAGAAGATTTTCTACATGTTGCACCTTCGGATGAATTTTACATTTATGTTGTAAGAAAACCAAACCATCAAAATGATCGAATTTGGGCAAGAAGTATTGAAGACATCAGTGATGATGAAAGATACCGAGAGATGGTTTACAATGCAACATGTATTGGGGTTTTCGTCATGTTTACTGCAAAAAAACTACTTTGGGTGCTAAAAGAACATGGACAGTCTTGGGATGGCGCTTATTTTCGTGACACTATCCTTCGACAACAGGTGATCCCATTTCTTCGTGATTCGTCCAATGTTCTCGATACGAACGAAGTGTTATTTCTTCACGACAAGGCACCTTGTATGAAAGCGAATGCAACACAACATCTTTTAGAAGATGAGAATGTGAATTTCTGGGGAAATTCAATTTGGCCAGGCAATAGTCCTGACATGAATCCTGCAGAAAATATTGGTGCAATTATTAAAGATAAAGTTGAGGAACTAATGGCAAATGAAGATCGTCGTAGCAGATACAATTACGATGCACTGAAAACGAATTTGGAGAATACGCTCAAAGATCTTGAAAATGATACAGATCTTTTTATTGACTTGTTATGCTCGATGCGAAAAAGATTTGATGCTCTCAAGGCTGCTGATGGGGGTCATACGAAGTTCTGAAACTTTCGAAAAAGCATTTTTTAGTATTCAATATTATCAATAAACTGAATAATTAATGATTCACAACTTAAGTTACTGTTGAGCACAACGGCTTTTGACGTACTCGAGATTGTGATATATAAGTGAAAATGATGTATTGAGCCTAGAATCGTTATAATATTACAAACTATATTTGTTCTGACTATACCACTAGACGTAACTTTTGCGGGCTTTCATTTGGTATAAAATTGTTGGGGGTACTATTTGGTCTTTAGGTCTGGAAGGGGGGGCGTAATGGTTTTTTTACACCCTGTA